ATCATTTGGGCCAGTTTTGTGGAAGTGATGAGGGATTGTCTACTTATAAAAAATGGAATTTGTGATAAGAACTCCAAGAACATTTTCCTGATATACCTTCTGTGACGCTTCAAGTAGGGAAATGTTTCATCAGTTGGGAAGATCTGATAGTGAGAGATAGTATATTTTATCTCTGGACTCAATATGTCAGTATTAATGAGAGAGTTTTGCTATTGATTTTTTGGGCAATGACTGTCAGTGGCTTGTATACTGTACTGATGATATACAGTAATAGACAGTATAGAGGAGAATGCATGTGTACATGCTAAGTTGCATCAGTCATGTCTGACTCTTTGCGACCCTATGGACTGTAGCCTGCTAGGCAGTAAAGAACCTGCCTGCCAATGCAGGAGATGTAAGAGATGTGGGTTTGGTCCCTGGGTCGGGAAGATCCCCTGGAGGAGGGCGTGGAAACCCACTCCAGTATTCTTGCCTGGAGAATCCCATGGACAGAGAAGCCTGGTGGGCTACAGTCCATAGGGCTGCAAAGGGCCAGACATGACTGAAGCGACTTAGCACGCACAAATGTGGGAGGTGGTACATGAAGTGATTAGATGGACGTTCCTGAAAAAGCACCAGGGTTCAAGTTCTAGCTCCACCCGAAACCAGCTGTAAACCTCTGGCAAGGGACTTGTCCTCAGTGTCTCAGGTTCCTCATCTGGAAAGTGGAGATAATAATAGTGTCTACCTCACAGGGTTATCGTGAGAACTAATTAGGTAATCTATGTAAAGGACTCAGAAGAGTGTCCACTGGCATATAGCTAGTGTTCAATAAATAATGTGTCACGTATACATAAATTTTAACTTTTGATGACTGAATCGTTGAACTCCAGTGCGTCTGTGTGTGCATGCGTGCGTGTTTTCAGTGATTATATGCATTGAATTTTGCTTTGGCTATAACTAAAGTTAAGTTGCTTTGCCCAAATGAACATGTATCAGCTTGCAGGAGGAGACGGTGTGGTATGAGACAGATGGACTTATTCCAGAATTGAAAGGTATCTGCTAAGGGGATAGTCTCCATGCAGATATTGGTTGGTTTTATACACTTTCTGGAGTGATAACCTGCAGGTCCTCCAACAGGCACTTTATCCACCAGAACCTGAAACACCTCCTCAAGGTGAGATTACTAGATTCCAATGCCATGAGCTCACTTTGCGAGTATGCCCCGTGCCACCCAGTGCACATAAAAGTCTCTCTGTAAATGCCCATTCCCTCAGGAGTGTTGTGGGCAAAGCGGTCCACCCAGAAAGGAGACCCCCTTACACATCAAAGGTGAAGAGCCACCACAATTGCTGGCGTTTGGACTTTGTTTGGACTTTGTTTTCTGCAAGCTTGCCAGTCCCTAGCCCCTCTCTCCGAAAAATCTCCCAACTGTGATTATCGTTCTAGATTACCTACCCCACATCACGCCCAGCCTCCGACTCTCAGACACCCCCTAAGTCCTAACCACCCTCTTTCTCCTTACTTCTGGAAAGGTTTCCCCAAACCACGCCAAGACTGAAGGGGTTCAGCAGCATAAAATTCAGTCCACAAGGGGTGGGGAAGGGTGCGGAGAGGGGGATTTTCTTTGATCTATCTAATGAATTAATGAATTAAACAAAAGTGGAGTTCAGAAGCCAGGCTCCTTACTTTTGCTGAAGCTGGGCTGATTACGGGCAGGCAAAACTGCTGGAAAAATGCAGCTTGGGGCCAGAAGAATTAGGGACATGGCCGAGTCCATTCATCTTCCCTAATCGAGTTCTTGGGAAACACACATGTAGATTAGCCCCTAACAATGGCCCCCGGCTGATTGCTTGGAGGACCCTGCACTGTGCCCACAATGCCGCTGACTAGCTCTTTATGCCACGCACAAAAGAAGGCCCAGCCTCCCCTCGTCCTGCCTTGCCCTGTCTCCTCCTGGTCCCTTGCCAGTGGCTGTTGAAGTCCTTTCTGCCTTTCTCTGAAATAAACTCTGAAATGAACTGTAAATAGAAGCTAACCTCGCCTGCACCTATTGGGGAGTGCGGGGCAGTTCCAGAGGGAATTAACTTTGGAAAACAAGGCCGGTAAGCCCCTTAGCGTGTGGGCAGGAGCTTAAGAAAATGCTGCCAATCTTTGTTTAGCGGTGGTTACAGAGATGAAAGTAATATTGGGGAAGTTGACGTAAAAAGTATACTCAGAGGGGAAACCACAGACAGCGGCCGATTCCCCCTACGGCTGCCCTAAGGGGTCGTCACCCCCCGCCCCCGCCCCCGGCTCTTTGTGACTGGGTGGGGGCCGCGTGGGTGTCACCAGCCCGTTTTCAGGGAGGGTGCTTCAGACAGCCTAGAAGAGCTGAAGCAGGCCGGCCGCAGGCTTCTCCTGCCCTGGGGCGGGGCCCTCCCGAGGGTCTGTCCTTCCTCCTGGACACCGGCGCCCAAAGGCCACTGTCGACAGGCTCGACTGCATCTCTTTGAGGAACTGAGCTGCCTCTGCCTCAGCGTCTTGTACACAGGATTCAGGGTCCGGGGAGGATTAAAGACAGACTGCACAGTAAGATGCGTCTTGAATCTGTTCAAAAATATCACACTCTGCCGTAATGATTACACATGAGGGACAGCCAGACAGCACTGGATAAGGAGCCGGAGAGACTGAGTTCTGGTCCTGTCCGCTCCACTTAAGGGCCGTATCATTTAAAGCCTCAGTCTTCTCTTCTGTAAAATGGGAGCAAATATATTTTTCCAGCTCACCTCACAGGGTTATGAGGCTAGGATGGTATGAAGACTGTGCTGCAAGCCATAAAGTGATATGCAAAACTGTAAAGTGTGTATTGATCTTCATTAATGTAGCTTTTTTTAAAAAGAGTTTCTCACGTAAATCAGTAGCTCAAGTCTACCTACTGCAAACTCATACGTTTGCTATTTTAATTTAGCTTTTTATAGTTTTATTAAAAAGAGAGAGATTAGTGGACTGAAACCCTCCCATGTGCCCATTTTGGAGAATTAATCATTGCCACTTAAAGATCCTTAACATTGTCACATGCCCTTTTAAATGTCCTTCTAGCATTAATTTAAAGGTGGAGGATCCTAAGATTTGAGTTTTTCTCTTGTTGTCGGCAGAGGATGAGATGCTTAGATAGCATCACCAACTCAATGGACATGAATTTGAGAAAACTCCAGGAGATAGTGAGGGACAGGGAAGCCTGGCGTGCATGGGGTGGCAAAGAGTCGGACACGACTGAGCGACTTAGCGACTGACCAACACCAACTTCCTTTGTCTTGCTCTCTTACTGGAAGTTAAAGCCCTTGAGGCCATGGGCCCCAGGCTCTCCTTTCTTTTGTGATGTCAGCGAGGCGCACATCAGTGTCCCCGGCTCAGTAGGGACGCAGTAAGTGCCCATCTTAGTGCAAGATGAAGTCAGTCAACATGGGGGCAGGGGAGACGCGTCGAACTGGAGATCAGAGGGCCTCTGCAAAGGAATTTTAAAAATCTCAGGTTTCTATCTGTATGAGATGGTGGATGTTAACTAAATCAGTAATCATTTATGTGTGTATGTGTATATGTGTCAAATCATTATGCTGCACACCTTAAACTTACGCAGTCAGCACAACTAGGAAACAAAAGGAAAAGAATCTCTAGATCCTTAGGCTTTTATTAGGAAAGCATTTTGGTTCACACTTCCTGCCAGCATTTCAATGAAGGTGCTTCCTCGGATCTAGCATCAGGTGTGAGCAGTGTTGTTCATAGCACTGGGAGAAGAGGGTGGGGGAAGTTCACCGCACAAATCATCTTTCCACTTGGCCTATGGAAGCCACTCTGGGCCATGGCAGCCTCGTGGAGTCCCCAAAGGGGAAAGAAATGCCGGTTGATGGCGGCCGGAGCCCGCAGAGAGGCGAGACCTTGCCCCGGGGGGAAGGTCCTTCCGTCCTCAGCCTGAGGTTGGGTCATCTCGGCCTGGAACATTGTTCGGTGGGGAGGGGTCCCTCAGGACAAACAGAGGGACAAACACCCAGACGGGTCTCCCACCGGCCGGAGGCCGGCCGCGCGTCGGACTCGGTGTCCCCGAGCCTCGGGCTGGGCGGTGGGCCCGGGAGGTCGCCGGGCCTGGGGACGCAGATGGCCCCACCGCCCCTGGAGCGGGCGCCGTCGTCAGGGAGCTGCGGGCGCACGATCCGAGGGGACAGGGAGAAGCGGTTAAGTCAAACACAATCAACCTGAAACCCGAGGCTTCGAACTACCGAGAAAGAGGAGCGCAGGCGGGGGGACATACTTAGGGAGAGAGAGGGGGGGAAATTCAAAGTTAAGGAGCGTGGACAGACTTCCGACTCCGTAAAGCCGGGTAGCCTCCTCCCGGTCTTTTAAGGGTCGCCGCAGGCGCTCAGTTCTGCGGAGGACGGGAGCCTGGGGGAAGGCGGGTCTGGGGAAGGGGAGGAGGCTGAAGGAGGCAGCTGAGCCCCCGGGGGAGGTGGGACGGAGGGCGTCGGCCCCACGGGGGCAGGCCTGGGCGAAGCGGGCCCTCCGAGCCGGGCGCCCGGGCCCGTCAAACAGGCCACCGCGGGCCTCCAGCTTGTGGACGGTGGACGGAGAGAGGGGAGGGGGAAGGTTCCGAGCGCGCGCCGCCGGGGCTGGGGGGGCGAGGACCCTGAGGACGGACCGGGGAAGGACCCGCCCCGCTGCAGGGAGGGGCCAGGGCAGACGACGGTGCGGGCGAGGGGAGGAGCCGGGGCGGGCGCGCTCCCTGCCTTAGCACCCCGAGTCCTGGCCACCCGCGGGCGGAGCTCCAACTCCAGCCGGGACCCAGGCCCCCGCGGACCCGGCGCTCACCCGCCTCTAGTGCACACAGGCGGGGCTGGCGGCGCTCGCAGCTCTTGGCCACGGTTCGGTCCCCCTCGGGCTGGACGGCCGCCCCCGGGGGAGCCGACTTCGAGCTTCTGCTCGCCCTCTTCGGGGCCGGCGGCGAAGCCGAGAGCGCGGGCCGCGTCCTCCCGGCCCCGGCGCCCCCCATGCACCTGCCGGGCTGCGCCCCAGCCATGGCCGACGGCAGCTTCTCGCTCGCCGGCCACCTGCTCCGCAGCCCCGGCGGGAGCACCTCGCGGCTGCACAGCATCGAAGCCATCCTGGGATTTACCAAGGACGACGGGGTCCTCGGCTCCTTCCCGGAGGAGCGGGCCGCCCGGGGCACCAAGGAGCGAGATAGGAGGCAGGGCGCGCGGCCCGCCGGCCCCAAGGCGCCTGCAGGAGGCGCCGAACAGTCCCCGCCGCCCGCCCCGGCGCCAGCCCCGGAGTACGAAGGTGAGTGCACACCCCGGATGCCCCGAGACCCTCAGGGCTCCCAGACTCAGGAGCTCTGCGAGAAGAGGAGCGAGCCCCTGCCTTCGCTGTTATTAAAGCATCTGGGAGCGGGGCTGGGGGCTGTGTGCATAGCACGGGCTTCCCACCTGCTCTCTGGCAAAGCTTAGGGACCCCCAGCAGCTCTCACCTCCCTCCTCCTTGGGCCAGCTCGGAGCCCGTGTAGGTAGGCAGGGTGGCCCCCGGGTACCCCGAGCAAGTGTCTCTGACCGTCGGGGGTCTCCTCGTCCCAGCCCCCCGCCCCTACTGCCCCAAGGAGACCGGGGAGGCTCGGCCGAGCCCTGGGCTGCCTGGAGGGCCGTCCGCCCCCGGCGACTCGAAGCTGTCGGAGGAGGAGCAGCCCAAAAAGAAGCATCGGCGGAACCGCACGACCTTCACCACGTACCAGCTGCACGAGCTGGAGCGCGCGTTCGAGAAGTCGCACTACCCCGACGTGTACAGTCGCGAGGAGCTGGCGGGCAGAGTCAACTTACCCGAGGTCCGAGTCCAGGTAAAGCGCGCAGACGCTACCGGGGAGGGCGGTGGCTCAGGCTGCGGCCGGCGCTCCCTAGAATCCCCGGGCGGCCGCGCGTTTATGGCACTTTCCCCGTGGGCCCTCCTCGACTTGGCTCGCCCAGACGCCCCCCCCCCCCCGGGAGCGTCACAGATTTTCCGTGCGCCCCGCGCACAGGCGCTTGGACGGTCTGTTCGAGTTCGTAGTAGCATCTCCCCTTTGGGGTCCCCTCCTTCGAAACCAAAGAGAGGAGTTGGGAATGGCTGATGAGATGGAGAGGCGACAGCATCCTAGACTGGGGAGGGGGCTCGGGGACGGGGCGTGGGGGGGGCGGTCAGGGAAACCCTGAGTGGAGAGGCAGTGTAGGAAGCGGCTCCAGTGTAACCGGATTGAGGCCCCAGATGCCTCCCTATTCGCTAAAGGCGTGCACCTCCTTGGAAGCGAAAACCCTGTCTTCTTAAGGGAGCCTGGCGCCTCGCAGTTGAAACTTTCGGAGGATTTGTTTAAGAAACTGACTTTTGCTTCTCTGGTGCACCTCCAGCCAAACTTCCCGCTGCTGCGGAGGCCCTTTTCTTTTTTATTTAAAGGGGTTTTCGCTTTAATTAAGGCTGAATTATCTTTAATCCCTGATCATTAAAATATTTGAAAGCCTTAAATATTTGCTAGTCATCTGTGAAAAATCTGGGAGGATTTCCAAATTAGGAGAGGCCTGCAGGGGAGACATTGGGAACAAATTTCGCCGCATCTGTAAGGCCGAGGGGCTGAGATGGGACTTTTGTGTGTGTCTAATGAATTGGATTTCCAGGAAGGGAGGAAACTCAGACGTTTGGGGCTTTTAGCCTTGTCTTAAAAAGTAAAAGCAGACAGACTCTTGCTTTTGTCTTTTCTGCTTAATTAAAGGGGTTAAACTAATGGGTTAATGTCATGGTTTGAAAACATAGTTCCCCAGTGTGACTTAGCACTATATGGGGCAGGGACAGTTCCATTTCTCCTAATTCGGGGCAGAGGAGCTGCAGGGGTTTCACTGAAGGGGTGGACAGGTCAGCACCTGCTTTACAGGGAGGGAGGGTGGGGTGGGGAGAAGGGAAGAAAACAAGTGAAAAATGAAGAAAAAGGAAAGGGCAAAGCCCCCCAGTGCCTCTCTGGGATACAGGCCCAGCCCACTGAAAGGCTGTCTTCACACCGCTGTCCCACCTTCCTTCTCCTTTACTTGTTTGTTCCCTTTGACTTGTTCGGGATGTTTGCTTCTTGTCTAAGATGTGTGCTTCTTGAGAAGTGTCTGACTTCTCTGTATCACGGGGCCAGCACAGTGGCCCAGCATATGGTGTGTGCTTAACACATGGCTATGATGTCATCAGATGGGGGGGGACTAGACAGGGTCCCCACTGTGTTGAGGGAGCAGAAGAGCGGACTACACCAGGCTTTAGCCCTTGAACTCTGGATACTGGACCTAAAGCCTAGAGCCGATGTTTCAGAGGATGGAGTGGGATTTGGGGGGAGGGGCAGTGGGATGTGCCAGTGCTTATTACATATCTAATGTTTCTGGGGAAGTTCTGGCCTGAGATACATAGATGAATCATTTACAGAAAGGGGCCCAGGGAATCTGCATTTTCTGTTCTTTCTCTCCCTCCCCCTCCCACCCACTGAATCCCAGCCTTGCAGACAGTTGCCTTGCTCTACTCAGGTGTTGGGTGTTTTTTTTTTCTCAGTTTTCCTAGGGAGTCCCTCTCCCTATTATTAACTTGCAGAACTGCTGTCTCCCTTTTGAGGTGTCAACTTTCCCCCAATTTTCCTTCATAAATTCAATGCTGAGGACACCAGTTTGGCCAAAGTTCCTCCTAGATTCTGCACTAAACTAGACCAGTTCTCTGTGTTCTGTTTTGGGGGGGGGGGGTGGGTAACTCGGTAGTGAAGCCTTAATTATGCCCTCTCCTGTGCTTTTTATCAAATCAGAAGGGAAGTTTCAGCATTAAGAGACTTCACTCTTTAAAAAAAAGACTTCACTCTTGGCATGGACTCTCTAAAACAAAAAGAAAAACTTGAACTCATTGAATTCATCTTAGGGTCATGTCAAAACTAACCATACATAAAAGTAGACTATTAAACTTGAACTATTGTAATCCTCAAAAGCCACTTTTAAGAAACATCAGAAATACGAGTCAGATATCAAGTAAAAATGAAAATCTTAGGAGAGCAGCAACCTGCATATTTAAGTATGCCCGGGATAAGAACATCAACCCAGTTTGTCCTGTCAGTTACCGTAACCAGGAACGGGGAGACAGGTCCATTTTAACAGCCAGTGTTGCCAGTTGGAGTACTTCGAGCCTTCGTTTATACCTATGTTTATAACGGAGGCAGAGGTAGATAGGCCACTGTGAGCCGTGCCACGCGGGGAGGAAGCCGGGTCCAAAGCGAAGTGTCAGCATGGGGCGCCAGCCAGCAGTCGCAGAAATTTGGTGAGGTCGGGTTTCCCAAGCCCCAGGGTCCGGTTCCGGGGTTAACTTCATTTCCCCCGCTCCTGTTTGGTGCCACGAGGTGGAAACTACCATAGCTAAGGGTGAGGTGAAACAAGGATAGGCTGGAACTATCACGGACGACCGGGTGGGACAGAGTCTCAGAACGCGCGAGGGAGGAGGGTAGCCTTGGGCAGACGAGACAGAACAGACGGGCACCGCGGGTGTGCAGCAGGGGTCGGGGGATGAGAGGCGCAGGGGGAGCCGTGGAGCCCCGGCTTTCCTCGCGGGCGGGGAGTCCTGCGCCCTCCGCACCCCGACGGCGCTCTGCTGCCTTCCGCAGGTGTGGTTCCAGAACCGACGCGCCAAGTGGCGGCGGCAGGAGAAGCTGGAGGTGTCGTCCATGAAGCTCCAGGACTCGCCCCTGCTCTCCTTCAGCCGCTCCGCGCCCGCCGCGGCCCTGGCGCCCCTCGGAGCGGGCCCGGCGGGCGGCGGCGGCGGGCCGGCGGGGGGCGCCCTGCCGCTCGAGTCGTGGCTCGGGCCGCCGCTCCCGGCCGGGGGCGCCACGGCGCTGCAGAGCCTACCGGGCTTTGGGCCGCCGGCGCAGAGCCTGCCCGCCAGCTACACACCGCCGCCGCCGCCGCCGCCGCCCTTCCTGAACTCCCCGCCGCTCGGCCCCGGCCTGCAGCCCCTCGGGCCGCCGCCGCCGCCGCCCGCCTACCCGTGCGGGCCCGGCTTCGGGGACAAGTTCCCGCTGGACGAGGCGGACCCGCGCAACAGCAGCATCGCGGCGCTGCGCCTGAAGGCCAAGGAGCACATCCAGGCCATCGGGAAGCCGTGGCAGGCCCTCTAGGGGCCCCAGGGACCCGGTCGGGCCAGACGCCGTCCCGGGAGCCGACCCCGAGCCGCAGGTGCACGCACCCCTTCTCCCTGGTACCCCGGGCTCGGCCCCTCCTGCCCAGCACCACCGGAAGATCCGGGTCCGGGTTCGGGCTTCTGCGCCTGGCTCACCCCGGAGGGCTGACTCTAAGGCCAGTCGAGGGCCTCTGGCCACCCCCACGTCCCCACGGACCCCTGGCCTCGCTGCTGGACGGAGACAGGTGGCCACGTTGCCCCCACCCGGCGGGCTCCGGAGCCGTCAAGTTCAAGGAACGCAAAGCCTCTGACCTCGGCACCTCCAGGGCGGCGTGGCAACCCCGATAAAGAACGACTGGGAGGAAGGGGAGACGGAGAAAGTTTGAGGGGCTGTTTGTAATAAGTAGCTTCAAAGAATTGAGGGGGGCGGGGAGAATTAAAGATTGACCTGTTTTGGTTGACTCTGGTTCAGCGCTCTCAGGACTAAGGGGGCGCGGACGAAGCTTTGTGTATGAATGCGTGTTCGGGGGCGGGGGGCGTGCTCGGGTGATGGATCCGGGGTTGTGGGAAAGCAGAGAGCGAAGGAGGAGCCGGAACGCCCCCCGCCTCCCCGCCGCGCATCCTCACGGACCCTGCGCTGCCGCCGGGACTCGCCCACGTCCACGACCCCGCGGCGCCCTAGACCGGAGCGCCCCTCTCCTGGCGCGACGGGCCCCTAAGAGCGTGCGGGGTTCTGGGGGCTTGGAGCCGAAGTCTCAGCTGCCTGTGCGTTCCCAGCCCCTCTATACCCTAATAGCCGGGCTGCAGCCGCTACTTGGAAGGACTGACTCCAATAGGAAGCATCCACCCACACCATCTTCCCAGGGTAAGAGCTGAACTTCCCGAAGCTCCTGGCGGCCCCGCCTCCCTCTTTCCAGCCCGCAGCGGCCCCAGACGCCTCTCAGATCACCAGGTGTCCAGGTCCCCAACTCAGGGTCAGCCTCTGCTACCCGGGGTTGATGGCAATAGTGCTCCGGAGGCTGGAGCAGACCGACGTTCGTAAGCTCCGCGTCTCAGTCTCGCCTCCCTGGACCGCTCGGCTCCACCCAGCCTAGTGGTTTGGCGTGGCGCGCGTCGGGCTGTGCGCCGCGACCCGGAGCGCACGTCCTCGCGGGCGCGTCGTGGACAGGATTGCAGTTCTTTGGCGCCGTCTCCGGGGCTGGGGGAGGAATTCGGAAGTCTCTACCGGCGGCAGCATCTCGCGGGGCACTCGCGGAGTACTGTCTGACGGTAGTTAGCACGTTAGTGAACCACCCCAGCCCCCTTTCTTCCTGCGACGAGCCGGGCCTCCCTGGGAAATGGGAAAGATGGGTCGTTTACCGCATGGTGTAAACTCCCGGCGACCTGGCAGGAGGCAATATACGTTGTGATCCCACTTCTCTGATCCAGAGTATCCCCGTGCGGCCCTTGGGTTCCTGAAACCTACCCGGGAAAAGGAGGACTGTTGGGGCTGAAAATGGAGGGAGAGTCATCACAGGACCCAGTCCTTGCCCTATGGGTCCTTAGAGTCTGCGGCATAACAGGCCTGTGTACCCTTAGGCCCTCCTCTGGAGCCTAACACATAGTAAGCTGGTCAGTAAGAATTTATTGAGTGGGTCGTTTTCCCCAAGCAGTGGTTGTTGCTATTTAGTCTCTAGGTCATGTCCTACTCTTTTGTGACCCCAGGGCCTGTAGACCCCCAGACACCTCTGTCCATGGGATTTCCCTGGCGAGTATAATGGAGTGAGTTGCCATTTCCTCTTCCAGAGGATCTTCCTGACTCTGGAGGGTCAAACCCTGGAGCATCAAACCTGCGTCTCCTGCATTGGCTGACGGATTGTTTACCACTGAAACACCTGGGAAGCCCCTTTCCCAGAAGGTAGGGAGTAATACATTTAATGCTTTTCTCTGATAAGAGAAATGAATGGAGTGGCCCAAGTGATATCAGCTATCCGCAGGGGAAAAAAATAGGTAAACTCAGGATAAATAAGTTTCTTTCACTTTGGCCTGTTTTCTCTTTCATCCTTCAATGAGGAAGGATCCAAGCTGGATCCTTTTCTCTTTCATCTTCACTGGGGAATAATTTATTCAGAAAACTTCCAAATTCAGTGGCCCCAGGTGAGTACCGCACTTACTCTGCACTCTTTCACCTTAGGCCTGGGCACCTCTGACCTATCTCAACATTAGCATCTACTCTGATTTCTTTAGGTCATTTCCATTACTCATTCTGTCTCCACTCTGCCATTTTCCTTCCTTTTTTTTTTTTTTTTCATATGCAGCTTTCCATAATTTTCCTCTCTTCTTTTACTCTGAGAATAAATATTCTAAACCATCTCTTTAGGGACCAACAGACTGAACTATATCTGGATTTCAGGAACAAGTCCTTGGAGAATGATCAAAATCCTAATAGCTAATCAGGATTGAAAGCTTACTATGTGCCTGCACTCTTCTAATTGGTTTTCTTCTCAGTGAAGCCTCACAAGGACTCTACCAGGAAGATTCAACTAGCCCCATTTTATGAACGAGGAGACTGAGGTATTGGAGAGGTTGCACCAATCAACTCTGCTTGTAAGCCTTGGAGCTGGAATAACTAGAAGTCCTCTGTCAGTCCACGATCATATCGCATGTTTAGGAAATATTTGCTGAATAAGGGCTCCTTAATTCCAGTTCCCATGAACAGCTCATTAGGCCACACTGGGAACTGAGATGCTGAGGAATGGATGCTAGCTCTGAGTGCCTTCCTGGGCTTCCTGGAGGAGATGTGGGCGAGGCGAGGCCCCTCCCTCTGCAGTACTACGGGCTGCCTACCAGGGCGGCTCTCAGGGCCCGCAGTGAGTCAAGCTCCCAGCTCCCGGAGGAGGGGTGCAGATGAGGCGGGCAGCGGGTACTTTACTCAGGCTGGAAGTGAGAATGGCTTGCGGTAAAGAGCGTTAAAACCCCAGACGATCCAGAAATAGCTGGGGCCACCGCCCAAGTTCACAGCTATGGAAAGCAGTTTGCGGAGGCGGCGGCCAAGGAAGGGCCCCAGCTTCCGAAACTGGACTCTCCCGGCTGTGATTTGGAGGACGGGCACCCGCCTTTCTGGGACTCTGGGGAAAGCGCCCCCCCCCCCCCTCCGCCTCGTAAACCTGCATCCCTTGGGAAGTGGCCCTTGCTTCTTCCACAATGAGGCTGCGGGTTTGGTCCAGACGATTCTATCGTGTGTGCATCGCAGGGGGACAGGAAACTGTTGGCACTGGTTTCACGGGGATCGGGGAGAAAAGGCAGTGTGGGCTCTAAGCAGGCCTTGGTTCAGGCCAGCTCAGATCCAGGCAGTCTGGGGGCGGCCTGGGGGACTCCCTCGAAGGAAGAAGAGTCTGACCCGCAGCCGGGCCGGAGAGTGAGGGTGGGACAGTCGGGACCGCGGCCCTCGGCTCCCGAGAGCCGGGATATGAGCCTCCCACAGCCGGGCTGTGGGGCCGCGGGGGCGGGGCGGGGAAGAGCGCCTCGGATTGGATGGGCTTCCGGGGGCGGGGCGGGTAAGGGCACCTCGGATTGGGCGGCTCCGCGGGGAGGGCGGGGCCCGGCGCGGCCCGTGGAGCGGCGGCCGCAGGTTCCTTGCGCTCCGCGAGGACCGCGGCTGATGCCCAGAGCCCTGCCCGCGCCTAGCCGGCCGCCCGGCTGGCCCAGACTCCGTCAGCCACGCCCGCCACGCTGGGGACACTTCCGTTTCCGCCTGTCTCCCTTTTGGAGGCGTCTCTTGCCGCCTGTGAGCGTGGCGCCTCCGCGCCCGGCGGGGTGGCTCCGGACTGCTGGTGGCGCTTTTTCTCTCCCTCGGGGGCGCGGGGCACCGAGGGCTCCGCCTCTGCGGGTCGCCAGTCTCCGGAGCCCCGGCGTCCAGAGACGGCCGCAGCCGCGCGGGGTCTTCCTCGCTCGGCCCCCGCCTGCGCTGTGGCCCGATGCCCGTTCCAGCTGTTCCTCCGCCGTGGGCTTCCCGCTCTCGGAACCCGGTCCTGCCTCCCGCTGGCCCGAGCTCCCATCCCTGATGCCGGGAGGGGGCGGGGAGGGGGAGGGTGAAACGGGGTGGGAGGACTAGGAGAGAGCCCTTGGGGTGGGGCGGCCTTCGGCCAGAGGTCAGCCCCTGGACTGGGGCGGCCCCGCTGTATCCACTTATTGTGAAGTGTCAGTCGCTCAGTCGTGTCCGACTCTCTGCGACCCCATGGGCTGTACCCCGTCAGGATCCTCTGTCCATGGGATTTTCCAGGCAGGAATACTGGAGTGCGTTGCCTTGCCCGTCTCCAGGGGATCTTCCCAACCCAGGGCCTGAACCCAGGTCTCTTAAGTCTCCTGCATGGGTAGACGGGTTCTTTACCAGCTAGTGCCGCATTATATGTGATTGCTCAGCTCAGTTGCTAAGTCGTGTCCAACTCTTTGCGACCCCATGGACTGTAGCCCACCAGGCTCAGACTTTGTCCATGGGGTTTCCTAGGCAAGAATACTGGAGTGGGCTGCCACCCCCTCCTCCAGGGGATCTTCCCAACCCAGAGATGGAACCGGGGTCTCCTGCATTGCAGGTGGATTCTTTACCAGCTGAGCCACCAGGGAAACCCTTATTCACTTATTTTAAAGGTATAGTTAATTTCTGGGGAGATGGGAAATGTTACACGAAGGGAGATGATCCCTGCCCCCGCGAGGGGGTGCGGGGAAGTCCTCATGCTTGGTTCTCTCGGCCAAGTTCATCACTTCAGTTCAGTTCAGTCGCTCAGTTGTATCTGACACTTTGCGACCCCATGGACTGCAGCATGCCAGGCCTCCCTGTCCATCACCAACTCCCAGAGTTTACTCAGACTTATGTCCATTGAGTCAGTAATGTCATCCAACCACCTCATGTGCCATTGTCCCCTTCTCCTCCTGCCTTCAATCTTTCCCAGCATCAGGGTCTTTTCCAGTGAGTCAGCTCTCCACATCAGGTAGCCAAACTATTGGAGTTTCAGCTTCAACATCAGTTCTTCCAATGAATATTCAGGACTGATTTCCTTTAGGATGGACTGGTTGGATCTCCTTGCAGTCCAAGGGACTCTCAAGAGTCTTCTCCAACACCACAGTTCAAAAGCATCAATTCTTCAGTGCTCAACTTTTTCTTTATAGTCCAATTCTCACATCCATACATGACTACTGGAAAAACCATAGCTTTGTCTAGATGGGCCTTTGTTGGCAAAGTAATGTCTCTGATTTTTAATATGCTATCTAGGTTGGTCATAGCTTTTCTTCCAAGGAGCAAGCATCTTTTAATTTCATGGCTGCAGTCACCATCTGCAGTGATCTTGGAGCCCCCAAAAGTAAAGTCTGCCACTGTTTCCACTGTTTCCCCATCTATTCCCCATGAAGTGATGGGACTGGATGCCATGATCTTAGTTTTCTGAATGTTGCGCTTTAAGCCAGCTTTTTCACTCAGTTTATCAGTTACTTGAAAGTTTTGCAGAGAGCCCTCCGTGTACCCCCAGTTAGGGAATGGAGGGCCGCCCGCAGGCTCCTCCCACGTCCCTCACACAGCTGGTGGACTGCAGGCTCTCGGGCCTCTGACGCGCCCCCTTAGCGGGGGCTGTAGTGTTTCACGCCCCCAGCCCCAGCCCGGCCGTGTGTGGTTCTGTCTCAGGTCCACGCGCTCCTTTCGGCCCACAGACATTTACTACGTTAGTGGAACTGAAGCCTCCAGGAGGCCATCAAAAAAAAAAAAAGACTTTCGGGGAAGGTAATATTAATGAAAAACTGGCCTTTCCTCTGCCCAGCCAGCGCAAGCCCTGGGGGCTCGACCTGTGTCCTGACCTGCCGTGGAAAGGGGAGGCCGGGCTCGCCTACTGTTCAAGAGGCCGGTGCTGCACTTATTCCCCGCATCGTCCGCTTAATTGGGAATGGGCTCTAATAATCTGGTCTCAGCTCATTAATGCTACAATAGTGGGCAGAGTTAATGACTCATTAGTGATTAATTCCTTAACTGTGCCTTAATTGCTCACTGTAAACACCCTTGGTAAAAACCAGATTAAATCGTCCAGGTCCTTGGCCCCACTCTCTCACAGCCCTGGAAGACTCAGCGAGGGCTGGGTTCCCTTACCATAGGAAGGCCATCTTTTTTTTTAAAGGAGAAATATCATCTGACATTCCTTATATGTGGAATCTAAAAAGAAATTATACAAATGGACTTACCCACAATACAGAAAGTGACTCCCAGATATAGAAAACGAACCCATGGTTACCATCAGGGGAAGGACTCGTTGGGGGCTTTGGGAAGGTCATGTACACACTGCTATGGATTCATGCATATATCTGGCTGAGTCCCTTCGCTGTTCACCTGAAACTATCACAACATTGTTAATCGATGGTGCCAGCTGGTATCTGGGAATCATCCTGGAAGTTCATGCTAGAATCATCCATGTAGACTAAAGGGTCTGGCGGGGGATTCTCTTGGACTATTTTGCTCGTCAGGAATGCTGACATCTGGCAAGGAAAGCTTGTCATGACTTCCCTTGGCGTGCTTGTTTTCAAGCCACTGTGTGTATCTCTAGAATGTGGTTCCTTTAGCCTGGCGGGTCATCTTCTTAAGGGCAGGTGCAGTATCTTCCCTTGGCCTGGAAGTCCTGAGGTCTCTGGTCCAGTCATGGCTGTGACATTGCCTAGTCATGTGACCTTGGCCCAGTCCCCTTGTGAAGCTAGATCTCCTAAATCTCCCTTTATCCCTCATCACCCCACCACAGACTCCCGAAATGGAATGCTCTGTTTTAAAAGCAGCGCTCGTCTGCTCTGTCCATGGTATGAGTGTGTCCGTGTGTTTACGTTAGTAGGTTCTGAATGAAGTGTGTACAGGCTACCTTTCCTGTTCAGAGTGGCCTGAGAAAGCTCTTTCTAGGGCGTACAGTAGCTGGGTTCTGTAGTTTTCCCATTTGTCATTTAAAAATTAGCCGTTAGTCTTTTTCACCATCTTAATTTTCCTGCCATCTTTGTCCATTCCTGAAACTCGCAAGGCACGGTGGGCATGTAAGGATGGATAGCCCAGACTCACCGTCCTCAAGGAGTGCAGCTTAGGCAGAGGGAACAAGGATGAAGCTGTGCACGCGTTTCCAGTGCCTCCTGCTTTCCACCTGCGGTTCCACAGGCCACCCCAAAATAGATACGTTCCAAATAAAACTGAATTGTCCTTACTCTGAGGCGTCCTAAAAACCTTCTTAGAAGTCTCCTCTCTTTCTGCATTCATAGTCCTCCAATGGCTATGATGGAAATTGTTCTTGACCCCTTGAGGCAAGCTATCTTCCGGTTTTTTAAAAATCTTATTTCTCAAATAAAATAAAATCTTATTTCTCAGCCATACATCTTCCAAATTTTAGCTGCTCAGAACAAAGACATCACCCAACCTTCCCTTAAATTAGCTATGATTAAATAATGACTAATGTTATGTAAGAGAAAACAGTTTTCAGGAAGTAAGTCCTTAAAAGTCACCAGCAGGGCTTCCCTGGTGGTCCAGTGGTTCAGAATCTGCTCTGCAATGCAGGGGACCCTGGTTCAGCCCCTGGTCTGGGAAGATTCCCACCTGCCATGGAGCAACTGAGCCCTGGCACCACGACTGCTGAGCCCACATGCGGCAACTACGGGAGCCCACACACCTGGAGCCCGTCCTCCCCGACAACAGAGGCCCCCAGAAAAGAAGCCCGCCCACCACAACTCGAGGGTACCCCCTGCTCACTGCAGCTAGAGAAAGCCCGTGTGCCGCAACAAAGGCCTACCACAGCCAAAAATTATATATATATATATATATTTAAAGTCACCAGCATGCCCTACACTTGTCTCTTTCCTGCAGTCTGCTGGCTACAAGGCAGGTGTGATGCTGGAGCCCCTATCTTGGACCATGTCATGAAGGCATGTGGTGAGGATGTTGAATAACAGGATGGAAGGGACCGTATGTGATACTTCCGAGGCTGGCACACCAGGCCAGCTCTGGACTGCCATCTGGGCGCTCCACTTTAGTGAAACTGAAAGTGAAAGCTGCTTAGTTGTGTCCAACTCTTTGTGACCCCAAGGACTATACAGTCCCTGGACTTCTCTAGGCCAGAATACTGGAGTGGGTGGCCTTTCCCTTCTCCAGGGGATCTTCCCAACCCAGGGACTGAACCCCGGTCTCCCGCATTGCAGGCAGATTCTTTACCAGCTGAGCCACAAGGGAAGCCAAACCTAACCTTCATTCATTCATTCCTTTCCTTCAATGCCGGGATGCGGTTAACTACTCAGCCCCATGGATTTTACTTCAGAATGTCTCCTAAATTCACCTAGCCCTGTCTCTCTCAGCAAGTTCTCTAGCTCAGGGCTTTATCGACTCTCACCATGGTGGATGGCCTCCCGTGGCGTGCAGTGCTTCTCATGGTACTTACCACATATGGTCCCATTTTATGATTATTTACTCATTGATTCATCTACCCATCACACTTACTGGGTTATTTCTTCATTGACTTGTTTATTATATTTACCGAGTTCTCCTTTTGCTAAATTCTGGGGCTATAAAGATTCTGAGCTATAAAGATTGCTCAGTCACTCAGTCGTGTCTGACTCTTTGAGACCCCATGGACTGCAGCACGCCAGGCCTCCCTGTCCTTCACCATCTCCCAGAGCTTGCTCAAACTCATGTCCATTGAGTCAGTGATGCCATCCAACCATCTCGTCATCTGGCGTCCCCTTCTCCTCCTGCCTTCAGTCTTCCCCAGCATCAGGGTCTTTTTCAATGAGTTGGCTCTTCGCATCCGGTGGCCAAAGTATTGGAGCTTCAGCTTCACCATAAGTCCTTCCAATGAATATTCAGGATTGATTTCCTTTAGGATGGACTGGTTAGATCTCCCTGCAGTCCAAATGTAATAAAGATAAAGATACATCCTCCATATTGTCTCCTTGTCCCTCAATTCTTTCAATCTGTCCTTCACGCTGTAGTCAGAATTAGGTGCTTAAAACAGTTCCTTACGGCTCATGGGAGCACCTGATGAGCTTCTGAGTCTGACCCAAC